TTCTCCACCTCTTTCTTCTCCACCTCTCTTTCTTTGCTCTTTGACTGTGTGCCTGTACTATGGTTGGTGTGATGCGGGCTATGGTGCTGTTAAAAATGATGTAATGCACACTTATGATCATAACATCTCAACTCAACTAAACGGCATCCATTAAGGTCAACGTCCTATAATGACAATTTAAACGCAGAATACATTTGCCTGTTAGCTGGCTTTTAATTAAAAACATACATCTGTATACAAGACCAATTCCATTCAGGGCTATATTCAAAAAGTCTTAAAAAAATGAAGACTGATCAAAAGTGGTTTGAAACCATTTTAATGATTGAAGATTACAGTCAAATAGATTTAGTAAGAATACTGAAGTTGCAGTTGATTGATGATAGTCGGCAAGTTAACAATGAAGGAATTTCCAAGTTTCTCCACCTCCCAGATATTCCAAAGGATCGAAATTAAAACTTATTTTAAACATCAAGCTCAAAATCATATTCCATCAATTCACCATGATTTTTGTCAACAAAACTTCATGAACTTTTATTTGTCCCCATATTCCAAACTCACTCTCAGAAGTGCTGTTTTATACGGCAAGTTATTATAAATATAAAGATCATTTAACAACTTTCTCAGAAAATTTCTAATTAACTATCCATAAACGGATGGAGAGAGCACAATATTTAATTTCCAGGGCCATTGGCATCCAGCAGCCAAAATCAAGTCAAATTTTTATTAGATGGTGCTCCAAGGATTTTTATATCCTCTGAAGATCACATTATAACTTGTTAATTTTGTGAAAGCCAATGACCTTGATAAGTTCTAAAGACTGAAATACTATACTCCCCGCTGCCAGGACTTCTCATACATTCATGATGTTTACATATCAATGGAGACCACAATGCTCCTTTTAAATTTTGTTGCACATTTCAAAGCACAAAACTATGTATTCCCCATTTGTTCCAAAGTAATAAATTGCAGCACAAATTAAGCCACAAAGCAGGAGTAACTGCACACAGATGAAATATGTGCTTTACTCCATCAGCCTTCTTTGAGAGTTTAGACAACATTGGCAGGCTATCTGATCATGAAAGTCATTGCAGCTGAGTCAGACCCAATCCTCCATTGAATACTACCTAATTTTCTCTTCCTTAGTTCAAGGTGATGTGGGCTTGAAGTGGGTGGAGGAGGATGAAGCTAAGTCTTGGTTCACTTTGTGAAATGCAGTACAGACAGGGAATGGAAACTGAAATCTTAACAATCATCATGGCTTAACAACACATTAGGTGATGCCTTCCGTAATTGGATCTGGATGGCCATAGAGCAATAACTTCATAAATAAGCATTTAAAGATTAAAGTCCAAATATGACAGAGGTGACTACATAAATAAACTGAATGTCATTACAATCACAATGCATCTCTTGTACCTTATCCCTTTAGTGCATACCAAAAGAGATTGTTGTACGTAAATATAAACAAAAATACTTGGGGGGCACAATTTTTTACCCCGAAGTTCATATTCTAATAAGCTTTCAATTTCAAATTCACAAAGCAACAAGAGGAAGGTAGGCATTTCAAGGTCAGATCCAATAAAAATATTAATGAGGACACGAGGACAAAGTCGAGTGCAAGAGAAGCCAAGTCTTTAATAACCCTAATTCTGTCCTCACATAATTCTTTCTCCTACAGTCAATATATTGCAAGTTACATTGAGCACCTATTTAATTGGGAAAGTCCATAAATCACTATTCCCTGATTATCATGAATTGAAACTGAATTATAGCACAGCAGCATAGATGATAATAAAACGAACATTAACTAACAAAGTAACAACATCTTAAAAATCAACAAAGTTTAATGTACTAAATCAAATGAAATTGAATTGTAAATTGTAAAAACTACGTAAATAGATCAGCAAAATTTGAACTGAACATACTAGTTTAGGATCAGAACTTAAAATCAACAACAAAAATTTGCTAGGTGACACAACACCACACTTCAATGGCACTGGAAATCTGATTTTGTTTTGTTGAAATCTTTTTTTTAAAAAAAAGCTGAAGTCTTCAAACAGATTCAGTCACAAGATCATTTAGAATCATAGAATCCCTACAGCATGGAAGCAGGCCATTCAGCCATTGAGTCCACACCACCCCTCTGAGATACTCTGAATGGGCATCCACAATGCCGAGAAATATTGAGCCCATGAAAGGACAGGCATACGTTCATTTGGCAAACTCAGGAATAACGACAGAAAAGCTGCGAGCATCATTTGCAGCGACACACGGACTCCCGGAAATATTGGTCATGGACAATGGGATGTCATTTACTAGCAGGGAATTTGAATTTCCTAAAGTTGAATGGCATTCGGTATATTCAGACAGGTCCATACCATCCAGTCCAATGGTCTGGTGGAAAGGGCAGTCCAAATGTTGAAGGCAGGCTTAAAGAAACAGCCTTCAGTTTTGCTTGATACTAAACCGTCCTGGTTCCTGTTCGAGTATAGGGGCACTCCTCACGCAACTACAGGAATAGCTCCAGCAGAGATGCTGATGGGGAGAAGTCTCTGCACCAGGTGTGTGCGGAACCCCAATGCCAGGTACATGCCTCTTTCAAGCGAGCAAAATTTCTTCAGGCTCATTCTGTTTTCCCTCGTCACCACTGAAGTAACTGTCCAGAGACCAGTATCCTGTCACCAAGACATCCTTTATTTACACGTGCACAGTACTTGGGCTCTGGCCGGCCAGCCAGCTCAAAGCCAGTCCCTAGACTGAGGAGACCTTCTGAATCTCCTGTTTATATCTGTTAGCAGGGCCCAGTTAAGAACCCCAATCAAGGATCTCCAACAGGAAACACTCTTTCATGGGCTGTGTGGACATGACTGGTGCAGTCTGCCTGTAACTGGCCTCGAATTGAGGGCCATTCATAGTTGACCTCCATTGTCTGGAGTTGCATCTAAGCCCAGAAACGGTGGGGGTGGCAGATTTCTTTCCCCCGTTGGTGAAGCCTGATGGATTTTTTTTTTTAAAAAGACCACAATTGATGGTGGGGTTAAAATTGAATCAGAGATAGTAGGAACTGCAGATGCTGGAGAATCCGAGACAACAAGGTGCAGGGCTGGATGAACACAGCAGGCCAAGCAGCATCATAGGAGCAGAGAGGCTGACGTTTCGGGCCTAGACCCTTCATCAGAAAAGGGGGAGGGGGAAGGGGGTTTTGAAATAAATAGGGAGAGTGGGAGGCGGATAGAAGAGGGATAGAAGAGAAGATAGGTGGAGAGGAAACAAACAGGTCGAAGAGGCGGGGATGGAGCCAGTAAAGGTGAGTGTAGGTAGGGAGTTAG